GTCAGTTGTTTCTCGCATGGTTAATTGTACGTCGCTCTTTCCCGGGTTAGCAGTTCTAGAAATCTTTATGTTCACGTGCCGGACGGGTCAATTTTCAACATAGTTTACCCGGAAGCTTTGCGCTGAAGTATTTTTGTTCTATAAGTACTCAAGCCTCATGTGAAACATGAATAGATTGCCAAATATTTATAAAAGATCGCCATATTAAAAATCTTTGTTTTTAGACTGATTACTTTTGAAACCAATACCTAGAGGGTCGCGTTGTCTATGAATATAAATTCGTGTCCTAAAAAAACTATAGCCACCATCTTAACTTCTGAAAACTCTAAATATGAAAAAGGGATTATATGGAGTTGACGTTGAGTTACAGCTTTACCTATATAATATTTTTACTATGCTATTTCTCCAAGCAGCAGGAAGGATGATATTAATATGCGTTGCTTAAAAAGTTGGCGTGCTACTAGAAATATAGAAATGTTAGATTATAAATGTCATTTTATAAACAAATGAAAATGTTCTAATGCAATGTTGTCATAAAATTTATTACATTATTTTTCAAATACATAAAGACATTGACTAAAGATATTTGATAGATTTTACCATTGAGATTAATACCATAAAGCCTTTAGATACACATTTAAACAATTAGTCATGTACATAAGTACGTATTTAATTATAATATTAATTCAAATAAATCGACACCAGATATTTTATAAATATAAACTTGTGTTAATAAGTTCCTACGCATACATGATTTATATATAAATATATTTTATTGACTTGCTGATTCTGTTTATGCGCAAGAAATGTACTATGAGGAAATAATCGCTCTCATAATAGAATATACGACAAGTCCTGAATTTTCTTATATTTGTTTATAAGGATTAAGGATTATTAATCAACTAAGCGTACGAACTTATCTATAAATAGATGGGCTAGAAGGCGAACTGTATCTGTCTAGCAAATTTTTGAGTAGCTTGTAGGTACTGGGTGCACTCACCAGAGCGATTTTTTTTTATCTCTCAAATCGAAAATGAAATGCAATGAAGACCAAGACAAATACGCCAGTCATATATCTCGCAATAATATATTTAACAAAATGTAAATAGGCTTAAATCATATCTCATATTATAATTATTAACAGGTTTTTTTAATATTATTGTTTTGAGCATTCGTCTTAATCTCAATTATATTTTTTTTATAAAATAATTTTTTTATTAATGGCAAACGAGTAGACAGTCCACCTGATGGCAAGTGGATGGCTCACAGATATCTACATTCATCTTCAATTAAGAATCGAAATGCACAACCTCACCCCTGAGGTCTGAGATGGAATGCCTCGGTCCTGTAAAAAGGATCTCCGGTTTTCTGCACTCATCATTCTAAACACAGGAGCATTAAAGCCGCTATTTTACGCTGGTATTCTGTGAGTGCATATTCCTACCCGGTCGAGTCGACAGTCGACCCATTCGTGCTACAATACAATATAGCTGCAGCGTGGCTTCTATTACTACTGGCTAACTTGTTTTTAAGTGATAAGTGCCTTATGACTGGTAGCCAAATTAAAACTAAATCTGGGTACATGTTAAGCGAGTTTTATTTCAGCACCAGGTAGAAAAAGTTAAGTTTAAGTCTTTCAGAAGCTGTTCAAATCCCATTTCCATGGTGGCGCTATTCGGGGGGCATGGGGCAAAAGTGTAGTGGTCTTCTTCTTCGAGAAAGCGACGTTCTATTGAAGAACTACCGATTTCCCTCCGGAGCCACGTCTACGTGTTATTTTCGAGAATCATTAATCACCAATCGTATCGCTCACAGAATTGATGACCGCATGCTTTCTGTACAAGCCGGTTTCCGAAAACGCTTTAGCACCATAGACAATCTGCCACTATGTTTTACGCATGTGGACTATGAGAAGACCATTGATTTCGTCGAAATTTGGCCGGTGTTACAGTCCCTTCATCGGTCGCAGGGTGAATGTCGGTGAATTGAATTGTTTTAGTGTTTGTACAGTAAGGCTATGATTACTAAATCAATTACAGATTTACAAGACGATGTGACGTTATATCCCCGAAACTCTTCACCGCTGTATTCAAGGACGTTTTCAATCTACTAGACTAGAAAGAACGTGTTAGTGCCTTATTAAAAAACAAATTGTTTGTATGGACGTTTGATAAATAGTAATAGTAGTTTTGATGAATAGTCTAGATTATCAATTATGATATCTCCGGAATCGGCATCTACGTGAGTAAAACCACAAGGCGCTGCTGGTACTCATACAGGTTAAGAGAACACCGATTTAATAGTCTTACTAAGTGTAGGTCTTTTTCAATGTTTCAAATTTTTTTTAAACTGCATTCTTAAACAATTAGTATTCCTGTAATTAACACGTTTGCCTTCTAGACCATCAACATCTTTTAAATTAGGTTAAAGTAAATTATTTATAAATATTTTTGGGAAGTTAGCTAATGTATATGATATTTGTTGATTTAGTCGGAAAGAATCGTGCCTCCTGAGAGCTTCCATAGTGTAGACTAAATAAATAAAAATAAATCGTAAATCGATAAAGTTATATCGTTTGTGTAAAAAAAAGTACAAATCCTTGTCGAATTAACTATAATCATAGTTAAATGCATTTTCTTTAGATTAAAACAGCCTCTATCCCAAACTTTATATAAGTAAAAATTTACACTTGTAAAATCTTAACAACTGGTACGTAAAACGTACCATATAAGATATCACAAGGGTTTTTCGTTTTTTCGCAGAAATTATCTTGCGCGTCGCCCATATTACTCGAACTCTATGTAGATTGCTGGGTTGCTGGTGATATCCGGGCGCACAAGAATATCAGCGAGATGGGGACCGACGGGTTATTCAACTTCAAAAACTACTAAGTACCCGTGCGATTCCGGGGCAGGTCGCTAATGATATATAAAAACAAAACAATTTTATGGGATTTATATTCGAGAACATCTAGAACTTATGTTATAAGTATTTTAATAAATTAAAATTGTATATAAACTTTAAAGTATATTAACAATTAAATTTTAGCGTCTGAAATAATAATAACAGTGAAATAAAAATGTTTTTAACATTACAACTAGACAAAGTATGTAATAGGCTCACAAAGGCTGAACAATAATGACATTGATACATTAACTTAAAAAGTACCACTACAAGAAGTAGGAAATAAAATTTTACGAAGTATTTTATTATTATGGTGTCAACTATGCAATTATAATAATGCTACACATAGAATTTACTTTATATCAAGGACTCAAAAACAAAAATATGTAAAACAGCTATTAATATGTCAGCGTAGAATAAATTAATGTGCGTTGTACAACAAGTCTTGTGACATCATAGGTAACGGCTTGTTTCAATATTGTTAAAATACAGCATAAATAAAATACAGGTAACGTTTTACCGTGTTAGACATTATCATTATAATAAATAAAGAATTAATATTTAAAGAGTTCCGCTTGATATAAAACAAATATTATGTTTGGAATATTAAAGCACTTCACAACACGTTTTGTGTTCGCGTGTCTTTTTCAACTTTATAGTAAACAACTTAAATAGATACATATTATGTCCAATCAAAAATTATTATGACATTATAGTAGCGCAGTGATCGCATCATAGTTTACGGAGCGCGAGTGTTCGTTCTAATTTCGCACGAAAAAAAAGTATACAATTATGTATTGTCTAAAAAATTTTTCTTTCAAGTCTTACTTTTATGTATGTAAAAAGTATTCGCGATATACAGGTAATTCCTAGTACGGTAGTAACGTTATTTTTAAATAGCGAACACGCCGTGTTTTCTAACCACATGTCAGGTATAATATACGTTTTGATTCAGTGTGAATGATTGTTAAAGATATATGGGAGACCAAATAGCTAACAAATACAGCAACTCATTGCGTACATATTATGCTAATTCTGGTTTAAATGATTTTAGTAAAATACTAAATAACTATTGCTGACAGTAAATTCTCTGCGAATTAATATTATATAAGCAATAAATAATTCTTTAATAATAAAATCGTTTCAAATAACTATTTAGCTAAAATTCATAACATAAATCTTCTATTATCTATTTGAAATAGTATATATAATTTATATCGTTAACAAACATATTTTTTACTATACGTAACTAGACCGATTATTTCACATTAGATTCATTACTAACAATGACAACGTAATAAGGTAGTAAATTATTTTGATTGCAAAATATAATATATTGATATAGAACTATAATGTTTCTGGACTATAAAAGATTTATAGAATAACTAACAGTATTAACTATCATACATGTAATAAATTATTTACTTTGGTAACAATAAGCTATACAGTACACATGTCATAATCAACATTAATTAAATCAAATAAACAATATTTAATTTTATAATTGTGCTAGATTATTTCTGAGTTGTATTTAAGGTTCACTAAATAATAAATATATCTTAAAATAAGAAATCAGCATCACGAATCGGTACCTGGGTTGTGCTTTTAAAGCGTAATACAATTAATGTAAGTAAAATAATCTAGGATAATAGCATAAACAAAAGTTATCATATCACAGTATTTTCATTAGTTCAAAACAAAAACCTACCAACACGCAACACGCAACAGGCCACTCTTACGATTTCATGATTAGTTCAGATCAGAACAGTAGTAGTCTTTTACTTCAGATCAGAACAGTAGTAGTCTTTAAAATATGAAAGTAGGTAAAAAAGAAATATCATTGATATATTGAAAATGGAGTAACATGTAATTTCATGATCAATTTATATTCAAATTATTATTTATAAATTTGTAATACTTTTATAAGACTGCTCAATAAATAATACATTTGTATTCGAGTGTTCATACTGAATCTACACCTATTAGCTAAGCCATATAAAATTTCATTAATATATAGTAAACAAAATTATTGTCATGTTGTTTATAAGCATATTTGGTTGATACATTATATTCCGCGATTTATTTACAAATTCTCATTAAGGATGTTGCAAAATATTTTCTATACTAGCGTAAGTACCAAACACAAAACCTGTTAAGCCAAATAGGATAATGGCGATATTTTTCCATAACATCCAGTCGTCTTTGCAGAGTCGGTCCGGCCAGAAAGTCATGATCTCGATGAATGGTGGGAAAATGATCGCTAGAGCTGAACTGCTAAAAGCTCCCACGAGGGAAATGATACCACTCAAGTTGGGAATCAACGCCGCCGCCACAACTGTAGAAAACACAAATGATTAGTGTTATGTTACGAGTACTTAATGATTTCTTTTATTTACGCGAATACTACACATTGAATAAAACAATTTTTACGGATTTTATCCCGTTTAATCTTCTTCTTTTTAATTCCCGACGTTTGTTATCTGGACGTAAAACATCTCAGTCAAGTTCACTGGCTAGTACTTTAGTAGACTGTAGTTTTTAAAATGAAAACATCATAGATAGGTATTACATATTTTACGCCTGTTAAAATTAAAAATTATCATATATAAATAGTTTATGGTTGTTAACATTAAACTCCTGATTTAACTTCCTGATTTTTTTTAAATTTTGATTAAACTTCCTGATAATAGCCAAATTACAATAAAAAAACTGCGGTTGCCAACCCGCTCGCCAAGCGTGGCAACTATGGCAAATACCCCCCTATGAATGACAGTAACAAAGAAACGGCCCCCAGTCCCCGGCGGCCCCGCTATTCCTGGCTACGGTGGCGACCATGGTAACGGCGGGGCAGGGGGTGCTAAGAATCTCCGGTGGAGGTTCGGTTGCCACCTTAGACGACTCGACCTGGCAACGTACAACGCACGCACCCTGAGGACTGACGAGAAGATCGTGGAGCTGGAAGAAGAGATAGACAAGTTGCGCTGGCATATTATAGGATTATCCGAAGTCCGAAGAGAGGGGGAGGACACGGTAATAATCCTCGAATCCGGCAACTTGCTCTATCACCGGGAGGGCGACCATCTGTCCCAAGGAGGTGTCGGATTTATCGTCCACAAGTCTCTCGTTAACAACGTTGTAAAGATCGGGAGTGTGTCGACGAGGGTTGCGTACCTTATACTCAGAATCACCAAACGGTATTCGCTGAAGGTCATACAGGTTTACGCACCAACTTCGGCACACCCCGATGAGGAGGTGGAGGAAATGTATGAAGATATCTCTAGAGCCATGCATTCCTCCAAAACCCAATATACGGTGTTAATGGGAGACTTCAATGCAAAACTAGGCACAAGAGAGAACGGTGAGCTGAAAGTAGGGAAATTTGGAATAGGGCAACGGAACCCAAGGGGCCAGCAGCTGGCAGACTTCATGGAGAAAGAGGGACTCTTTATAATGAACTCTTTCTTCCAGAAGCGGCCCCACAGGAAGTGGACCTGGTCGAGCCCCGACGGTTCCACAAAAAATGAGATTGACTTCATTATGACGACCAGACGACAACTGTTCAGTGATGTCTCCGTGATCGCGAGGGTGAAAACTGGTAGCGATCACCGAATGGTTAGAGGCACACTGAACCTAAACGTTAAGTTGGAGAGGTCTCGTCTAATGAAGTCAACGCTCCGTCCCCCTCGTGCTCTGTTCCAAAGTCCCGAAACCTTTCAGCTCGAGTTACAAAACCGTTTTCAGTGCCTGGAAGACTGCAATGAAGTGGACGATATGAATGACAAGCTCGTGGAAACTGTCCATGCGGTCGGAGCTAAGTTCTGCAAGACCCGCCGCAGAAGAACACAAAAACTCTCCGATCACACTCTTAATCTCATGGCTGTTAGACGGGAGATGAAGCTACATTCTTCAACAGACTTGACAGCATACAGGCATCTGAACAGACAGATCTCCAAATGCATGCGGCGAGACTTACGCAACTTCAATACAGCTCGTATTGAAGAAGCGATCGAGCGGAACCAAGGCTCCAAAGTCTTTGCCAGAGATCTGTCTGCCAGAAAGAGCCAACTGTCAAAGCTGAAGACAGAATGTGGCAGCATCGTTTCCGGGACACCTGAGATTTTGAGTGAGATTGAGAGGTTCTATGGGCAGCTGTACACATCATCGTTGGAGCCACACGCAAGTGTGAGTAACGATCCAAGAGCGAGTCTCATCCGACACTATTCCGAAGATATCCCGGATGTCAGTCTGAGCGAGATTAAAATGGCTCTCCAGCACCTTAAAAACGGTAAGGCCCCAGGCGAGGATGGAATTACAGCGGAGCTTCTGAAAGCGGGTGGAAGACCGGTACTTGAAGTCCTTCAGAAGCTCTTTAATTCTGTCCTCCATGGTGGCATTACACCGGAGGCGTGGAGCAGAAGTGCGGTGGTCTTGTTCTTCAAGAAAGGTGACAACGCTCTCTTGAAGAACTACAGACCGATTTCCCTTCTGAGCCGCGTCTACGTGCTGTTTTCGAGAGTCATTACGAATCGTCTCGCGCGCAGACTTGACGACTTCCAGCCTCCCGAACAAGCCGGTTTCCGAAAGGGCTTTAGCACCATAGACCACATACATACCCTTCGGCAAGTTGTACAGAAGTCCGAAGAGTACAATTTGCCACTATGTCTGGCGTATGTGGACTATGAGAAAGCCTTTGATTCCGTCGAAATTTGGGCGGTGCTGCAGTCCCTTCAGCGGTGCCAAGTTGACTGTCGGTATATCGAAGTGTTGAAGTGCTTGTACAGTAGGGCTACGATGGCTATCCGAGTACAGAACCAGAATACGAAACCTATCCAACTGCAGAGAGGTGTAAGACAGGGTGACGTCATATCACCGCTGCATTGGAAGACGTTTTCAAGCTTCTGGACTGGAAAGGATACGGTATCAACATCAATGGCGAGTACATCACTCACCTTCGATTTGCCGACGATATAGTCCTTATGGCAGAATCGCTGGAGGACCTAAGCACTATGCTCAATGACCTCAATAGTGTTTCCCAACGGATAGGTCTTAAGATGAACATGGACAAAACAAAGATCATGTTTAATGTCCATGTCACACCTATGCCGGTAGTTGTTGGGAGCACTAAGCTCGAAGTTGTTGACGAGTATGTTTACCTGGGACAAATAGTCCGACTAGGTAAGTCCAACTTCGACCGAGAGGTCAATCGACGGATTCAACTCGGCTGGGCAGCGTTCGGGAAGCTACGACACATCTTCTCGTCAGACATACCTCAAAACCTTAAAACGAAATTGTACAACCAGTGCGTGTTGCCAGTGATGACTTACGGAACTGAGACGTGGTCCTTCACTGCTGGCCGTATGAGGAAGCTCAAGGTCGCTCAGCGAGCTATGGAGAGGGCTATGCTCGGAGTTTCTCTGCGTGATAAACTTAGGAATGAGGATATCCGCAGTAGAACCAGAGTGACCGACATAGCCCAACGGATTAGTAAGCTGAAGTGGCAGTGGGCCGGCCATATAGCTCGAAGAACCGACAACCGATGGGGAAGAAAGGTTCTCGAGTGGCAGCCTCGTACCGGTAGGCGAAGTGTAGGGCGTCCCCCCACGAGATGGAGTGACGACCTGGTAAGACATGCAGGAAGTCGATGGATGCAGGTGGCTCAGGACCATGCTTTGTGGCATTCTTTGGGGGAGGCCTATGTTCAGCAGTGGACTTGTGAAGGGCTGTAATGATGATGATGATGATGAAGAACATTAAACTACAATCTGTTAAAATACATATTTCATTTTTTTATAGAATAAGGTTGACAAACGACCACACAGTCCACTGATGGTAAGTGGATGCCGTGGCCCATAGACATCTACATTTATCCTCGATTAAGAATCAAAATGCAGATGCGTCGTCACCATACGAAACACAGCAACACTAAGCTGCTATTTTACGCTGGTATTCTGTGAGAGCGTGGTCCTGCCACGGTCGAACCGGCACATTCGTGCTACAACCATAATATACTTGCAGCGTGGCTCTACCACGTTTTATGTAATGGCTCCAGTACACGTTGGCCGAGCGCGCTTGGCGAGTGCGCTCGGCAGATTTTCGTGGTGCCGTTCACACGTTGGCGTGTTTCATTCTGCGTTGGTAGCTAGATGATGATGGACGTTAGGGCAATCGCGGCCACTGTCATATACTTATACAGCGCATCACTCTTCTCAGAGTGAACGAAAAAAAAACTACACATACAACAATAATCCCAGTTTGTCCTTTTTAGGGTTCCGACCTCAAAAGGAAAAAAGAAACCTTTATAGGATCTACTAGCTGACCCGTGCCCGCTTCGCTGGGGGTTTTTTCAAAATAAAAGATAGCCCAAAAGAAGCCCCTAAGCTACATTATCCCTGAGCAACATAAACGCAGAGATAATTTATAATAATATTTATCATTAGGTAGGTACTCTGAAATCGCAACTAAACATGTATTATTTAATGCAGTTAGGCAAGTTACTTACTCTGGTTTTATTTTTATGTTGCTCATGTTTGGGGTTCCATATAACTGATTCATTGTGAGGATCAATCAATGAACAATGAATCAATATTTCACTCCATAATTATTAAATCGTAATGTGTTGGTATGCATATAAGTGTATGACTACTTTCCTATAAGTATTTTCATTATTATTTTAATCATTTTATACTAAAATTAAATAAAATTTTATATAAAATATATAAAAAAATAATTTTTTTTGTTAAAATACACATTTTGATTACACACACAAACATACTCCACTATTATTATCACGTCCACTTTCCATCTCACCGCATCAGAAATTACTCCACACACACACACTACCTTTGCTCTCATACTACACTTACACCACTAAAATTTCACATTAGTAATTGTATATATCTCCACGCTCTTATTATGAATAATTGCTTAGGACATATATATGCCCATACCTTGTATTCCGTAACTTGTTCTTATTACTTAAAAAATATCCAGTGTTTCAATATTTTGCAAACTGTTATAAAATTAGGACACAGTTCCAAAAAAAAAAATAACTATCTTCCTTCGTCCCGTTTTGCCCGGTTTACTTTACTGCAAAAACGAATAATAGCGTTAACTATGTGATTGATGACATTGACCATCTTTCTGTATCTATAACTAATACGTGCCCACCAGAAGAAACACATAAAATTGTCAAACATCCAAATAGATATGTGAAAATTCTATCGCAAAACATTCGTTCCATCAATTGTAACTTCTTAAGCTTACAAACTCTCATGCACCGCATCTCCTTTGATTGCGATCTGGTTGTCTTGACTGAATGTTGGTTACCATGCTCTA